AGTTACTCTCTGGTTTCCAGGGGTACTTGTACAAAAAAAAAATATTATAGGTAGTTATAGTTTAGGTTATCCAGATCTGGATAGAGCTCTAGATGAAGCTGGTAGATAAAGCTATAGATGAATTTAGGAAATCTGAGTGTATACAGTATAGTATGCCATATGATTTTCAGGTTTTACAGTACTTGTAAATAATTTAGTTTGTAATTTTTGTAGATATTTCTTAGGATAGGTAGTTGAGGTAGCTTACCTTATTGATTTGGGGTAGAAGTTGGCTATCCCTAGCCTTGAGCTTAAAGCAACTTGAACTTGACACAGTTCCCAACTAGTGATGGTTATGTACTCATGGGACGCTATGAGGTACTAACTTGAGTCCACATCAGAAACATCTCTGATTACTGTTTTCAGTCAACAATGTGTCACCCTTTTCTGATTTCATTACTTCCAGGTTGAGGATAGTTGTCTTAGGTTTTGTTTCACCTGCAAAATGATTGAAAAATGTGATTGAAATGTCACATTAGCTTTTGCAGTTGCATTCATGGGTTTAAATCCTTGATGAGGATACCCTGAACTTTGAAAATTTTTTTGTGGTACTTGTACACTTTTGTTGAAGTTTTCAAAGGTGATTGAAACAAATTATGGCCTTGTTTAGTACACACTTACCTGAAGTAAGTTGAATTTCTTGTGGTGTCCTACCATTGGACATTTTTGAACATCTTTGACATACGTATTTGTCATACTATACTTTTGGGGGTAAAAGTTGGTTATCCCTGGATTTTTCCTAAAGCAACTTGAGCTTGGACATGTTCCCAACTTGTGATTATATCACAGCAGTAACACCTCTGTCATTTATTATCACTGTGTTATGTGGACAGTCATAACCAGTGATGGTCCATATACACTGCTCCACTTTAAGTTTTGAAATTATCAATAACAGTATGTTGTTGAGACTCCACATTAGGATGATGGCAGTAAAAGTCCGTCAAGATGCGTTTTATCAGTTGAAGACCATATTTTTTTTGAGACATGCACATTTTAGGAGAAAAATCTTTGTAGTTTCGCGAACTAGTGCATTGTTGTTTTTATTTGCTTTGTTGTCTGTTGATATTTGGATACTGATAGATGTCTAGGGGATCCGGAATACATATCCCTCTATATTAATTATTGATGATATTATGATTTCCCTAAAAATTTAAATTGCTGTGAATTTAAATTTTCCCTGGCTAGAAGGGTGGTGTAACATACACTTTTAGTAAATGTTACTTTTTCTATGAAATATTGATAGTACCAAGTATTCAACTGACCTTTTCAGAATAATTGATTCAACTCTGGTTTTCACTGAATGTATTTTGAGAACTTGCATTCCCTTTTGTAGAATATTTTGAGCTTTTCTGTTACAGATTTCATGGAGCTGCGAGTCACTGGCATACACGATGGCATACATCGGAGATCATCCTGTATATCCCTTGCATAATTGATTTTAATAGCATGTTATGTTTTGTTGACTTGATGAAAGTTCATTATTTCAGTTTGTTTTGAAAATATTCATATGAAATGTCAAACGAGTTGTTAAGGTTGTAATTTTAATTCTTCTTTTTCTTTTGTTCCTTTGTCCCATGTAGCATTGACGAATAGTTCAGCGTTCAGACCTTCAACGAGCAGGATCGCGACAGTAACATATCAAGGTTGATAAACTTCGCTATATCTTTAGAATGTCTAGGTAGTAGGCCGTCAGCATTTTCTTATTGTTATTGATCTGTATTGATTTGTATTGATTATTCATTCGAACCTGATATCGGTTATTGCAACGGTTGATTCGAATCTGGCTATTCGGTTACTATGATTTTTATGACTTAAATGACATGGACATTTGAATATTTTGATTGATGATTGGAAAAGAGAAAGAAAGATTGAAAATCGTTCCTTTCTGCATCTGGCCACCATGAAGTGAACTTGTAGGGCAGATGTCTGTTAATTTACATTTTTGAACATCCACAATTTTCTGTCATGAACATCTTATAAAAGGTAACTATTCGATTATTATAGAAATTCTTGATCTATTGAAAAGAATATTCTTGTGAAATTTGATCCATATTCAAGAAAATTAATTGATAAACTTTCATCATCTCAAGGTTGCATTATTACAACATGTTTTCCATTTTTCATATGTTATAGTTCTGCCAGACTTTATTCTAGTATACTTTATTCTAGTATACTTCATTCTAGTACTCCTTATATAATGACACTTATATAAGTAAACTTGCTGATATATACATTTCTTGTATATTTTGTGATGTAACTATATCAACTATTTTGCTGAATGCTTTTATGGACTCGAAAGAGTGAGCATTTTTTGATGATTTTATGAAACAGTCTTCATGGAGAGATTGTCCTGGCTATTGGCCGATTTATTGTTCCTGTATATCACTGGAAATTTGATGTTCATTTCAAGAAGATAGAAATTTGCAAAGTTGATGTCATAAATTCAATATCCTGGCTGGACTAAGCATACATATAGGTCACCTGACAACTCACCAGACTCGTATGCCCATGGAATCTGGGATGGATCCCAAAATGATGATGAAATTGACCGCGATGTAATTTGGAAGCTGATATCAAGATCTATGAGCTCTGGTCTATCGACATTTCACTGGATTATTAACATTCTTGCTGACATAAGGTATTCTCTGCATATTATGAAGTATACACTGATCGTTGAACCATTCATTATAACATTCTTTGTAATCTTAAATCTAGTACAATTGAAATTTATTATGATTCAATATTCCTATAATCTGTGAAGGTGTAATGCATTATATCTGGGGGAATATCCCATTTATTCCATTTCGAAGATTTATCCAAAAGTATTAGTGATTATCTTACATTCCAATTATAGGAGAATATTAAGTTGACTCACCCTGTATATGGTGAGGTGTAAATTTCAAATTGCATGGTTTCATTCGATATTTGTGATATATCATTCATTATGATTGTGTTTATGCATGACATGGAAAATGCATAGTCCTAATCAATATTTTTTTTGTGACATTTTCTATAGTTTGATGCAGACTTACCTACACATTCCAGTCAGTATATGAATCGAAATTTTATTTGTTTGATTTGTTTTCCTATCCTTCAGCACAGGCAATATCTATCTACAGAGATTTGCTTAAGAAAGAGGTTTGTTCAACTTTATTTTCTGTAGATGGCGTCCAAATTAAATCTTATCTGGTGGAACTATCTTTCTAATGCCAATTGTTATATTTTTGACAAAGTTACATGATATGGTAAGTAAATGAACCACGACCCATTTGCCCCGACTATATGAGCTGACCGTTCGCACAGTGTAACCTGGAATTTCTTAATTTCTCAAGTATAAGGGCTATAATACCTTCACCGCATTTTCCAGATACACGCCCATACATGGAAGCACTTAAGTCATTTTCAATTTCACTCAGAAATCAGGTCATAATTTTTGTCGGTTACTGATACATATAATGATGGATTCGGAGAGCCCTAATTACGAGTGACAATAGAAAATGAAAAAACTCCACCGCCCCGTGTGAGAGTCGAACTAACAACCTCTGGGTTACATGCCCAAAGCTCTGCCAATTGATCCAACGGGCCGTCCGTCGATCAATCGGCAGGAAGGTCGAGTTCTAATCACACGACACCAGGCGGCAGAATCCTTCCAATCTCTGAAGTCACTCGAAATCATGCACTCTGGCAAAGATTTCCAGAGGACGAACGGGAAAATATGGAGACTATATAGTACCATCCTGCCAGCGATGCTTCGTATAGTGCATGATTTCGAGTGACTTCGAGGATTGGAAGAATTCTGCCGCCTGATGTGTGATGAGAACTCGACCTCCCTGCCGATTGATCGAAGGACGGCCCGTTGGCTCAATTGGCAGAGCGTTGGGCATGTAACCCAGAGGTTGTGAGTTCGACTCTCATACGGGGCGGTGGAGCTTTTTCATTTTCCATTGTCACTCGCAATTAGGGCTTTCCATCTCTATCATTATTTTCAATTATGGCTACCTCCTGCACAAGGTCGTGTGGCAGCGGAAGAACATACTTCGAGTACTTCTGTCACGTTATACCTACTACCTACATGAGTAAACACTTCAAAAGAATTGTCTTTCTCGTGTTTGACGGCTACCCCGGAGATGCTGAAAAAGCACCAATACATCCAAACGACTCCGGTGCTACGCAGCTCATTCCAGTAACGAATTATCGTATAATGAATTTACAGTAATTCAAATGCCTTGTGGGCATGTCTCGAGCCATTAGAACGGAAAGAGACGGATGCCTTTCAGAGGGCGACAGTGAAGATGCAGATCAGAAGATCGTGATCCTGATGACAGCGCTCTCGCACAAACGTTTCTTCTTGTAGAATATCATCTTATCGGAGTGGAGAAAAAAACCACTAACAGATTTCCTTATCCAAAAATATTGTTCGAGGAGAGGCAAGAGCTATACATATGAATTAAAGAGACATTCATCAAAGACATTAATTCGTGGATGTAACAGAAAACGCTTTATACTATTTTCCCTGTCCACTTCTTGTGATATCAAACGATCTGAGAGATACCTTAAAGACGACAAGACAATTATTGGAAACCACTCCAATGACAACATCAGAAATTCAATGACCGATGATCGTTAACAGCTCTTTCTATGCTATCGTCAAAAAACTTAGGTCCGAAATAGATGATTCCGATAACAAAGTGATCAGAACATAAAAATACATAAGAAAGAATTGGTCTACATGAAGTAGATGTTTTTCTCGAAAAATTGCAGAATACCCATTATAGGAATTTCCTTTCGTGCGCTCCGCAAGCGATGAAAAAAAAAAATGAGCCGTCACTGGTGGATAATCCACCTAGTACTATGATACTGATGCATACTCATCTCATTTCAATGAAAATCATAGTTCTCTCTATTCGTTCAATATCTACTCAATATATTATCAACATAACAATTTCTCTTTCTTTCTACAGAATAGTGCCCTGTCAGCTCTTCCTTATCTCTCACAACTGGCAACCAGCCCATTGTTCAGTTGCATTTCAGATGCGTTAATCAATAGGGCTGTCTTCAATGTAGCAACTATGAGGAAGATAATGACAGTTCTTGGTAAGCTAATTGATCATACATGATGGTTCTCTCCAGGTTTACTGCCACAACTGCAGGTGGAAACACGCGAGAATTCTTCATTTTCTAGGTGTATGTGATGTTAAATACAAAGGGGTGCGTAGTTTGACACTTTCACTAGAATTTTTCAATATTGATCTTGAGCGCCAAATGCCGACAAATGAACAACAAAGGAAGCAGAAAATCTGATTCATCAACAAATCTAATCACAATAGAGTTTTTGAACTTAATTTATACTGAATTCACAAAACCCAATGACCACCCTGTACAGTAAAAGCGAATAAGTCGCTTCAATTCAATCACCCCTGATTCGCGAAAATACCCGCAGATCGAAGTGACTTTATATCGTCACTTACTTCTCTTTATTTAAAACCTGGTATCAAAATTTGAAAACTCCTCTTATTCTGAAACCGGTGGTGAACACGGTAGTTCCGACTTATTTTCCAGTATCCTCTCAATGCTCTGAGAGGACTTATCACTCTCGAAAAAACTAATCACTCTTAAAGAAACCTACTGGAAGACGGAAGACTTCAACCAAGAAAACATTTTAGTCACGCTTTGATTAGGAACAGAGTGGAACTGGAGGCCGTGTTGAATATTTACCAAGAAATCTGTGAACACAATATCCCTCTCACGTATACGTTCGCCTCTGACTACGGCGTCTGATTGCACTAGGAGTCAGACAGCTCTAGCATTGACTGTCTTGAACGACGGCTTGGAGTCAACTGAACTTATTTGCGCCCATTCTTGCTTAAATACTCGGATTGTGAAGTTAATAACCATGCGCGATAGGTAGCCATGAAAAAACGCGACGAAGCATACGCTAGCTTTGATCACAATGATTGTATTCAAGCGTAGTTGGTAACTGAGAAACGACGCTGACAATCCCAGTTATCACAGATTGGTCCCAGCGATATAGGAGAGCATCACATCCTTGCCACACATCACATCTGTGTCTTGAAATGAGAGTCCAACTGAAATCACTATGACTGCTATTTCAGACTCATTAAGTCATTTCACGATTCACATTATAATGCCGAATAAAACTCACGATACGTATCAAAGAACTCCCCATTCAACATCAGAATCGAACAATTCAGTTTGTTATATAAAAACACAAGAATGTGAGGTTCCAGTGAGTCTCTTATTGGTTGTAAGGAAGCCTCACAAATTCACTTACATCGTGAGTCCCAAATCCAATGAGATGTGACGAATATTGCGAATATTGTGAAATAAAGAATCCCCTGGCAATCCCAATGGGAAGCTGAAAACCAGAATTGGCTTTCCGTTTCACAACTCCTCAACGGTTATTCTAATTCAAATGGAATTTCAAATAATTATGGATTGACCTGTTATTGATTGATAGTTATAATGATGACGCGATAATACAGTCGTTTTCACAAGTATTCAATGAAATAAACAACAATAGTAGACGATTCCTTTCCTGGCTAATGCTACGCAAAACATTGAATTGCAGCGAAATCCTTGCAACATATGGCAAGTATGTAAGAATAATACAATCAATGTTGTTGAGTGCATTGAACACCCGTATTTTTTGCTCTATACCACTTCGAGCAATCTATTTTGTAGTTTGACTATATGAGATTGATTTATATGAAATTTTTCAGGTGAACGAATTATGATCAGCCCAATCAATAAACTCACAAGCTTTCTTGAATTCAATTCATAGTACGAAAAACCTCTCGTTCCAACAACATTCTCTTGTTCAAACCCGATAAACTCGTCTGTAATTCAGAAAAAAAAAACGATTCAACTCAAATTAAGGAGCGAAAACATAGGTTCCTCGTCAAAATTTCAATGACAAAGATACTGCCGTTGGATTATTCCACACGAAGACGTTTTTCAAGGTTTCCAACCCTATCTTTTGATACATACTGTCTTTCGAAGTTGATATTTTCTGGTATTGTTCCCAACAAGAAAACACATAATATGTATCTAATCAATCGTTCACTCATCTTTGGAATGTACCAATTCCATATGTGTACTCGAAACCCGAGAGTCACCTGAACTCTTCCACATTCATGCCCGTATCCGCAGTCACCTTGGTGTGGGTAACAAACATCCGCACCAAGCAATCAGGCTCGCAGTTGGGGCCTTCGAGATGGCCACAGCAATCATTCAACACCTCCTGATATTTTTGTTCGCTCCCGCGTCTAAACGTTTTTGTGAGGCTTGAGTTATATTTCAAACACTTAATGAATTACTATCAGAAGATAAAATTTCTTAACAAAAAAATTCAATTGTGCATTTTTACGTGAATGAAGAAGAAAAATTTACGTGTGCACATTTGAATGAGACAGCAGCATATTAAACTCTGGAAATTGACCTGCAGGTTTGTTCGTACCCGCAATTGCCTTGGTTTTGGTCGCAAATATCCGCACCGATCAATCGGGTTCAGCTGTGGCCTTGCTGGTGGCCGCTGTGGCCTTCAACAGCGCCTGCATGAGTGGCTTCATCGTCAATCACATGGACCTATCGCCCAATCATGCCGGCATCCTCATGGGCATCTCCAACACGGTTTCGCACTGCTGTGCCATTTTGGCATTGCTGTTCGCACAATTCGTGGTCACGGACGAGGTAAGAATCATAAGAGTAATTTAGTTCTGAGAGAATGATGGAGAAGAAAATCGTTGTGAGAATTCTTAATGGTAAAAACTACTTTTTCTAATTTTGACATGTAATGTGACACTTTTCAAAACTGACGGAAGTTTTGAAACGTCTTACTTTACGTAACCAGTTGCGTAAAGTAAAATTTCACATAACTGGTGATGTAATGTTCATTTCATTCATTCATTTCACACAACAAGAGTCGGCAGGACTCATGTAAAACTGGTCATTATTTTTGTTCATGTGAAATGTTTCGTCAAAATTAGAAAAAATATTGTACGTGACACGTTAGGAAACGCCATTTTGTGTAACTCTGTGATGTTGCGGGATCTCGCTTCGCTCGTCCCGCAAAATCCCATCGTTACACAAAACAACGCGTTTCCTAACTGATTACGTAAATATCTATTCTCGACTGATACCACTGAATATTGAATCACTTATATAGATACCTATGTCAAATATCGGGAGTGCCTATAATTTGTAGAAGATTAACATATTGTATAATAAATATTGTTTGGATTAGGAACCCTAAATATCAAGACTAAGAGATTTCTGCAAGATTTCTTGAATCGATTATAAGCTGGTGCAAGACAGCTTTGCCGAAAGGTACCGCTATATACAGGCTGATACACGGCGGAAGACACATTAGACGTTTCTAGAGAACGTAACTCATTCTGAAAATTTGGTAACTATCGACCAAGAATATTCTCAGCGCTGCGACGTTGTCGCTTGAACTAAAAAGTAGCATTAACTTCGATTTTTCGAACGGGACGAAATTACTATATTACTATTTTCATATTCTCCTTGAAGAGCGAATTCCATTGACCTATAGAACTTGGGGTCCAGCAAAAACAATTACAGAGATATAAGGTGTGAAAAATCGAGTATTTTCAACTTCAAGATTTTTTTTGTCGAAACTATTCATAACTGGTCAAACGGTTTCCATGTCCCTATCTCTACTTCTCATTCACTATCAATCAATATTTAATTGAAATAGGTACAGGGTGGTTCAGAATTAAGATTTCCAACCACTCTGTATCTATTTCAATTGAATATCAATTGATAGTACATAGAAAGTTGAGAGAGGGACATCAAAACCGTTTCGACTTATTATGAATAGTATCAACACAAGGAATTCTGAAAGTACAAAATTTTCGATCTTTCATACCCTATATTTTTTTATCATTCTTGCTAGACTTCAAGTGTGATAGATCGATAGAATCAGCTCTTCAGGAAGGATCTGAACATTAAATTATATGCAGGCTGTTTCATTGAGAAAATATAAGTTGTTGCCTTTTTTTCAGTATTAGCAGCAACGTCGCAACGCTGAAAGTATTTCAAGTCGATAGAACACAACTAATTATCTGAGGCATCAACTTTCCAGAATGATTCTGAGATCTCTTACTCTTGAGATTATAGGTTTCCAACCATCTGTCTGATCGACATTGAATTACTGTAGAATTCCAGGTGTTGCGATAGTCTGCAGAATTGTGGAATTTTTGCCTTTCTGTAATAATATGGACGTAGGGGTCAATATTCGACGTACTCGCAAGCTATGGTTGTTCGAACAATCTACTTACACACCTTTGCACTTTTGCCACAAGATGGCTCTTAGGACTAGGAGAATTTAATTGTTCACATGTTCAACAGAAAATTACTACTCTCCATGCTCACCACAGAATATCAAATTGTATCTGTTATGTATGGAAATAAACCCATAAACTTCAATTCTGACAAAAAAATTCCCCCATATCATTTATTGAATGATAGTTATTCATCCATCATCATCTAGAATCAATTTGAATTGATCTAAATATGTTCAATCAAATGATTTGACTCCGAAAAAATATTGATTTTCTGAAACAAAAATGCATATCGATCACACAAGTTCCCTATGATTTTTGATCGACTGAATATTATTTCAAGCATCTTCAGTAGAGCCAGAACGAATAAAAACTCACAAATTCTGATAATGAGTAGAAATATTTGTTTGCCTTGTCATGGAGGTATAGGTTTGATGTGTCGATATCATATACATTATATGCACGAACAAGCGTGAATTATCACAACTGTTCTTCTGCAAGCGTAAAGAGACACTTATTTAGCACCTGCAGACTACTCCTTCTTTCCAGCGATACACCTATCTTAGAGGGAACTCGTTTTAAGCAACTATGTTCTGATTTTGATGATTCAATGTATTTACAACAGTTCTCTTGATATTTCTACGATGCAAATTGATATGATCTATCCTAAAAATAATTATTCTGTGATAACATCAACTGACCATGCTCATCTCCATTCACCTTAGTATGAAACTTATGTATAGTAAGTATTAATCTGGTTTGTTTCCAAATTGTAATTTGTAATTCGCTGTTTATCTTTCCCATTCTTTTATTGGCTTCGGCTGTTGGATGGTGTATGAATTAGATAAAATAGAATAAAATAAAATAAAACTGACAGCAAATTACTATTCACTTTTATTTCAAGAAAGTGACTCAGTAACTATGGTAACGATGATGAATATATAGGCTGATGACTGCAAACATGCTCGGGCGTTTACTTACGGTCCATAATAGCCTATTTTACTCCCTTGATACATAAATAACTATTGTGTATCATAATTGAATGCCACGAACATGTGATGAGATAGGTATCAAAGCACCAGCATGAAATAATCGATTGTTGATGCATGCACTATTTTTTCGACGACCAATAAATTATGGATTATAGCATCTCCAATTCATGAATCGCTTATACTTTCGACGGGTTCGTTTCTGTATCCCAATTGGAATCAAATGTCAGACCACTCCATCATAACAAGTACGTATTTCTCAAAGCCGAAACTCCCTTTCTTAATAAAGAGTACGTGCTATCATATAGAAGGATCGGAGTTATTACTGTGAACATGTTGATTTTCCTGCATTTTGGGAAAATTTCTGTACAATCACTTTGAGATATCATGGACTTCTACAATAAATTGATCATATATTATTGTTTCAGGAAAATATTGCGCAGTGGAAGATTATGTTCTACTTTGCTGCCGGAGTATATGTTTCTGTGACGATAATTTTCGTTGTTTTTGGTTCAGGAGAAATGCAGACGTGGAATGACAATAAAAAAGGTAAAATTCAACACCGGAGGTGAATTTCAGATTCAAGTACCTACCTATACCTATAACCAAATTGTTCTTCATTAGTACCCTAATTCAGTGATTTAGAGTATGTTCTCTAGCAATATTGAGGATGTGTTCATTGATTCCAAAATAAAACTATTTGCAGATGATTTCAAAGCGTATATATATAAATCAGGCAGCCATCTGATTACCAAGAGATTCAAGATGACTCGAACAAATTTTCATCATACTGCACGAATAGGCTGTCAGTCAACCTCAACAAGTATTATCAAATTCTATTTCATAAAATCCTGCATCACTCTCATGAACAAATTTTCATAAACAACTAACAGATCGTATTGGTCAACGAAATAAATTACTTTGGCATATTTTTTTATAGAAAGCTTATGTTTGAAAGTCACATCGAATAGACAGTCAGAAAATCTCTGAAGATATCAAGTTCCATTTACGTAGTACTCACGACAACAGAAATCACACCTCAATTATAACAATGTACAAAACTTTGGAGAAATCTATCCTCGGGTATAATACTATGATTTGAAATCCTGTTGAAATGTTAAACGACTATAATGATAATAATAATGAGAAATCGTTCTCATTCATGAAAAAAATCGCAATAAGCAGAGTATCAGCAATAAGCTGTTTGTAACTCAACCCCATCAGAGTCTGTCCAAAGGAGGTCGACTAGTAATTTGAATTATTTTTGACTTCTTCTAGGCATTATGTTGAATTATAAAGTTTGAGAATTATCAGGTTAGGTACAATATTTTCAGCACCTTCAGCATGAAACTTCCTCACCACTGCATTCTGACGATGAGGAACTACTACTATCAAATGAATGTAGTAACTCCATGATAATTGAGAAAATATAAAATGATCAGAAGAACATCATATGAAATGAAATGAAACTAAATGAAATGATCATGCGCCAAAACTCATCCCAGAACGGTTCACACTCGACAGCAGGTACTGGTTTCGGATAATTCTAGGACCGTACCAGGACGATTCGAAAAAACCGAACGCGTGAAAAGTCAGTTCCAAAACAGTTCCACAGAACCCGAATGCGACCGATTCTACTGCACAAACTCCTTACAGTTCTAGAACAGTAATCTTTCGAACTCGAATGTACTCATGATATCTCATGCCAAACAACTTCTAGGTTCATTGAACATCACTCTGTACAGGCCCAGATAATATGTTCAATTGTAGGCATAGTAAAAAACAAAATGAAGAAGGTATGAAGCATATCTCGCTCTTTATATCTCAGCTTTATCAACATATTTTTGGACAATACCCTGCCTTTTTATTGGAATTAAAATGGTTTGATTCTTTTAGAAATATCATTTGGATTTTTTTGCAGGAGAACTAACAATCATTGTTCTCAATGCTTTCGAATTTTCATAATGCAAAAATAACCTCATTGTGAATCAACAAGATTGGCTTGATCTTCATCGTGTTTCGTCCAGCAAAAATAGTGAACTTAAATCAACTGCAAATTTGAAATATTCAATATAGCTTTGGTAGGTGGAGAATTATAATTTGAAACAGAATACACAATAAAATTTACTTGTGGAACTCATTGTTCTTCACTGAATGGTTATCTCTGTTCACAAAAATACTCCTTGGATCTGCTTCTTTTTTTTTACTTCTCCATAGGAAATATATAAAAATCAACATATGGGAGATCGAAACCATAAAGAACAATATCATGACCTCAATTTTCCTTTTCAACAATCCCTATGATTTCACGAGTTAATTACTCATTTTCATTACGCACTGTCCAAAATGATTTTTGTCTCAGAAAGACTGATCATATTGATGGTAATTCACACCTGTTAGAATTTGGTGAGAATCGCACGCATAATGGCTGAGATTTAGAGGAAGGCCGTTTGAATTGGGACACGCTGTATAATCAAAATGTTATGGCATATACAAACACATTCCCAAAGTGAAATGAATCTGAACATTATTATGTGAACCGCGACTCAAAAAAAATCAAGAAGAAGATAATTTTTTCGATTGATCCTGTATCCTTCTTGTTTTTTCGCAATCAGATTACCGGTTTCATGTCACAAATTTCACTTAATTCTACCTAATATATGATTTTTTCAACTGTGCAATATTTTTTTTTTCAGATGACACAGAAACACGACGTCAACTCCAACGGGCCTAACTTCAGTGAAGGCGATATATAATACTGTCTGTAGGTTAATCGAGGAGGTGGTACATTCATTATTCCAACTTTTTTTAGATTTTCTCTCCTCGTTTCTATAAAATGAAAATGTGAATATTATTTCAATATACGTGTAGTAAGGACAAATCAGATGATATGCCCCAAAATTTCACTGCGTTTAAAGAATTTGTCTTCCCGAAACGTCCAGAGATTTCTATTCCCCAAACTTTTTTCAATACAAATTGTCATCGACAAGCTAGTAAATTTTTCTTCAAGGCTCTCTGATAGGAAAATTCTTTAAACGCAGTGACATTTTGGAGCGAATCATTTAATTTGTCCTTACTACACGTATATTGAAATGATATTCATATTTTTATTTTGTAGAAACGAGGAGAGAGAATCCCAGAAAAATTGGAATAGTGATATAAAATATTTAGAATTTATGGAAAACTGTTGTGGAAATAAATCAATATTTTTGTAAGATTGAATATTTCAAATCTGATCCTTCCTTGTATCATAACAAAAAAAAAGAGTGTATTATGATTCCGCGAAATTACACAGGATTCTGACTGACAGATGGTTCCTTGTTTGGTACACCATTTGGTTCGAAAATGGAAGGAGAGGTAGGCGCAGGTGTATATGGACCCTGATTTAGGCTATTTGAAGCCTAAGGTCACTGCCTCACTATCTTTCATGCTGAAATACATGCCATTAACCTTTGCGCCCAAAGGTGCCGAGCGAAGGTTTGAAGGGTACCCAGAGCATGAAGGAACCAAAAGAAATGAGGCAGCTGATCGCCTTGAAAATGAAGGTGCAGCATCTGCCCTCTCTGGTCCTGAGCCTCATTGTGAGATGAGCATATGTCACCTAAAAAGAAAACTCAGGAAATGGAAAGAAATTTTGGAGTCCTCCTACTGGAGAGCAACTCCAGGTCAACGACGAGCGGAAAGATTCATCAACCATTCGCAGAAACGAGCCAAAGAGCTACTCGGCCTCAGCAAACCCAAGCTAAAGCTTATCACAGGCTTTCCCTCAGCACACTGCCCTCTGAGGTACCACCTCCAAAAGATGGACCTGACGGAGACTGACACTTGCTGCTTTTGCAACAATGGGATTGAAACCCAAGAACACATACTCTGCTCATGTGAAGTATTGATCCATCAAAGGCGGAATCACCTAGAACAGGTCTTGCTGGTGAAAAATTCAACCGTCAGGAGAATTCTAAGCTTCATCAGGAGTCTGGGGTTAGAAACCCAAAACTAGTTAGTTCAGGCGTAAGGTGCAATACCTGATAATTTCTATCATTGTATAAGAGTTTTCCATCTAATTGAATAATGATTCAAGTATTCCTAAGAAGGATCTAACGGAATGGTCAAAGGTCAAAAGTCCACTGGACCCTAGTCGACACACCAAGAAACAAAGGTATAGGCACCTAATTTATGGTCAAAGCCTCGTGTCTTGATAAATTTTATCATATCTAGATACTTGTGTCTTCATATTCACTCCTTAAAAATCGTAAAGTGACTTTTTTTTCAATATAAAATTATCCGCATCAACCTCGAGGGTTATTAGCGGGGTACAGTACAAATTATCAATTTCATTTTATGAATACATCGGGCTATATCAGATTATACATTTTGTTTTCCTAGTGTCAGTATGTATCACAATCACTTTACTATGAATATTTGGTTGAGTTCACTCTCTCTAGGAATTTTATAACTCGATCTGGTTGTTTGTTCAGCATTTCTGCAAGATTTCTGGACATATTGCATTGGTTCCTTTGGTATTCGAGTGTAGGGCATTCTGTTAATATATGTCGTACGGTTTGTGGGACGTTACAATTTTCACATTGGACTGGAGGTTTTCTCTTCATAAGATGCTGGTGTGTTAGACGAGTGTGTCCTATTTTGAGTCGTGTGAGGAGAATTTGGTTCTTGCGGCTTGTACCACTGTAGAGGTGGTTTTCTAAGGTGGGATTGATTTCGTTTAGTTTGTTGTGACTGTGTAGGCGCCATCTATCCTTCCATTTATCTTCAGTTATTCGTTTTATCTCGTTATATAGATCTGGATGTGGTATGTTATTCCCTTGTATAGATGTTGGGTTTTCTGGAACAGTGCGGGCTGCGGTATCTGCTAGCTCATTACCTAGTATACCGCAATGCGATGGAACCTAGACAATCTCAACTACTCTTCCTCTCCGTTGAATTTCCTGTCGCACGTTTAATATTTCCTTAAGGATTGGATGTTTAGGATATAGTTGTTTTATGCCTTCTATTGCACTCAGTGAATCCGTGAAAATGACTGTGCTACCATTGAGGTCTTTCGCAGCGCTTAAAGCTTGTTTGATCGCGAGTACTTCCCCTGTGTAAATACTGCAACTTTTTGGTAGTGTAAAGCCAACGTGCTCTTGTGTTTTTGAGGCATCCGTATATATATGGTTGTAACCGGTGTACTTGTGGGATAGCTCGTTGAAAGCGCTTCGGATCACTGGAAGAGGGGTATCTATTTTTTGAAATCTGAGGAGTTCTGTGTTACAGTGAGGAATATTGATTGTCCAGGGAGAGGGTGTCTTGTTATTTATGGGATAGGTGGAATCAAAATTGAGGGTACTGGATATTCTTTGAATTCGTTTGTAGAAGGGTGGTGTGATGTTGTTATTAAGGTTGTAGATTGTATGGAATCTGTTAGAGAAGGTGTTTTGGAATGTTAGATTGTCCTTGTTGGCTGATATTCTAGCTGCATATGTAAGACTTAGATAGTCTCTTCTTATGTCTAGTGGGGGTTCTGCAGACGCCACGTACAAGCTCTCTACTGGGCTCGTGCGGTATGCTCCAAGGGCGATTCGTATAGCGGTGTTATGAATACTGTCGAGTTGTTTGAGTACTGATTTGCTTGCGGTGCTGTATATTATTGACCCATAGTCAATTTTTGATCTGATTGTGGAACGATAAATACGCATCAAGGTAGTACTATCAGCACCCCAGGAGTGATTTGATGCAGTTTTCATGAGGTTCAGTCCATTCTGGCATTTACGTTTCACGTTTCTGATGTGTGCATTCCAAGATGATTTTTTATCAAAGATCATTCCCAAAAATTTGATTTCGTCTACGAATTCTAGTTGTTGGCCATCAATCTAAATAATAAGTATCATGTTCTCTGTTTTTTTGGGAAATAAAACGCCTTTAGTTCTGCTTGTAGAAAAATGTAGTCCTGTATTTTGAGACCATGTCTCTAATTTATTTATGGCATTCTGTAGGAGTTCAGCAGACGAATGGACGTTTTTTCCGCTAGTGTAGATGACCAAGTCGTCCGCATATAGATTGGCTTTTATTGGAGCTTTGATATCCTTCAGTATATCGTTCATCGCTATCAGAAACAGCGTGGTGCTAAGATATGATCCTTGAGGAGTACCATTCGTTTCTGGTCTCATTCCAGATAGTTCGCCATTAGTTCGTACTTTGAAAGATTTATTATTCAGAAAACTCTTGATAAATGTTAGTATCTTACCATTCATATTCCAGCTTTTCAGTCGTTTGAGTATATCGTGTTTCCAGACGGTGTCATATGCCCTATTGATGTCGAAAAACACTGCTAAAAGTTTTTGTCTATTTGCGAACGCTTCATGAATATCTGATTCAAGATTCACAAGATTGTCTACTGTGCTGCGGTTTCTTCGAAAATTGCTTTGTTGAGGAATAATCAGGTTGTTCTGTTCCAGGTGATGGTTAAGTCTAGCGTTCACTATTTTCTCTAAGATCTTAAACATAGTACAAGTGAGGGAAATCGGTCTTTATGAGTGTGGGTCCAATTTGCTCTTATTATTCTTCAATATGGGCACTATTATAGCCGTAGACCATGTAGAGGGGAACTGCTTTTCTTCGAATATTTGGTTAAGGATCTTGAGCAAGACACGTTTGCCTATTGCTGGTAACTTCTGTAGGAATATATAAGGGATTGTGTCTGGGCCAGGACAGGAGGATTTGCATTTTGATAATGCGTCTTGTAACTCAGTCATTGTGATAGGAAAATTCAGTGGATTCTCGATATCTTCCGATATTTCAAATTCTTCTTGTTCGGCAACTCTCGATCTTAAGAATTCATCGCTATAATTTGTGTCACTAGATAGGCTTTCGAACACATCAGCAAAGATGTTTGCGATTTCTTGATTGTCCGTAACTATTAAATTGTGTCGTCGTCGAGTTTTAGAGATTTAATAATGTGACTCGAATTGCATCCTCTGATTTTCTTGACTTTGGTCCATATCTCAGACATGGGTGTAGATTGGTTTATGGTTGACACATACTTTTCCCATGAGGTTTTCTTTGATTATTTGAGTGTGTATCTCATTCGGGCTCTAACTTGTTTAAAGTTGATTAAGTTCTCTGTTGTATGGTGTCTTTTCAATTTTTTGAATGCAATTTTCGTGAGTTTGGTTGTTTCCTGGCACTCTTTGTTCCACCATGGTACAGGGGTGCGTCCTTTTAGGGTGTTTGTTCTACCTATGGATTCAGTTGCCGCTTGGATAATAATCTTCGTGAAATTGTCCACTAAGCTATCAATATCTTCATCTTGTCTGTTCGGTTCACTTATGGTTGATTCAATTATTTCGCTGAATTTGTTCCAGTCCTCGGTAGTAGCGTTGTGCACTCTCCATTTTTGGGGGATTGATGTTGATGTTCTTCTATAAAAATCTGTCTCGATAATGATGGGAAAGTGATCACTGTCATAAGTGTAAGGTAGTACCTCCCATGTTAGTGTGGGATGAAGTACTGGATCACACAGGGTCAAGTCTATTGCCGAATGATTACTGTTAGTAGGGTTAAATCCAGTGATTTTTCCTGTATTGAGCATCGTCAGATCAGAGAGGTTGATAAAATTCTCAAGGATGCTACCTCTGGAATTGGTAGTGGTGCAGCCCCAGCTAGTACTATGGCAATTGAAATCACCCAGTATGATGAAAGGTTTTGGAAATTGACTTGCTAGATTATCTAGAGCTGCTAAAGAAATGTGTGTATTTTCTGTATATAAATATTACATATACTAATCTTCTTCCAAAGCGTGATTGATACAGCTACGGCTCCGAAATCTGTATTCAGTGGAATTTCTTCCATTTGTAAAGAATCTTTGATGTATATTGTGACACCCCCACTGGCTCTACCAGCCACTGTCCTAGCTGTTTCGATTAACGGAATTATATTTTTTTAGCGAGTAAGTGCGATCATTTCGAAAATTTGTTTCTTGTAGACATATGACAGCAGGATCCTGTTCATTTATCAGAAGTTGTAGCATCTGGAGGTGGGGGAATACCCCGTTAATATTCCATAGTGAAATGAAAGCGTGTGGTGTAAATGTGGTGATGGTAGGAGTAGTTGGTCAGTAGGTTTCCTGGGAACATTTGCTCTCGTTTTCAGATAATGTAACATTGGAGGTTGTTTCAAGTTCTAAGTCAAGCTGTCGTAATATCTTCTTCTTTATTTTAG